CATATTTATTGTTTTTCAGCTGTCTACCATTTTAATTTTGGCTTGTATGTACTTTAGTCACCCTGGTATTTCTCTCTAGTTCTAGAAATGTATTGAATATTATGCTATAATGGCCATGGGATGAAATAAATTGATGTAAAATGAGATCCTCCACACCAGTGTCATTCTTGGAGTACATCGATTGAAGGTGTTAATCTTATAATTGCTTTACTCAGGGTTTTTATAAAATGGCTTGTTTTAAAAAAAAAATTGAAATTTGATGTCTTGGCCCTATAGTCAATGTCATTTTAAAATAAATTCCTTTTTATATTTAAATCCAGGATTTTCTTAAAGGTCTAACTAGTCAACTTGTATGTACCCATAAAGAACAATCACTGAGTTCCCTTTACAGAGCAATAGCTGATACTTGGTGAATGTTTAAATTGTTTACCAAGAAAGCAGTTTATTTCTGTGTAACTATTTGCAGTGTTTTTAGTAAGAAATGCTAATATTGATCTTCAGTAATAACTTGCAATTCAAATCCATTTGAAAGCTTGAAATCTCTCAGATGCGCAAGAGCAGGTTGAAAAGGGATAAAATTCTCCATGTCCTGAAGTGGATAAATATTCTATTGGGCTAAATCATACAATGCATTTTTTTCATTAGCAGCAAATTTTTTTACTAAAATGAGTTTTACTTGAATAAGCATTTCAAGATTCAGACCCTTAAATTTATTATTTGATCAAAAGGGGAGGGTGTTCTTACTCATGGCTAAAACTCCTTCATTACGAAAACCACTTCCAAATTCTAACACTGTCTCCATATAGCAATATTTCTAGTCAATTGATCCATGTTGGGTGTCAAATTCTAATTTATTTACCCTCCATTTATGAATGGGAAAGAATAATCATTTGACTTCATGTAAAATAGTGGTGATGATGTAATTTAAACAATATCCTCTTAACAGTAGGTCCATCTTCCTACTTAGTGTGTATATTTTGTTTTTTGGAACTCAGTAATGCCCATATAACCATTTCTGATGTTGCGCTCAGGCCCTCACTAAACATCCTCTTCCCATAGGTTGTAAACATTCTTGTTTTCTCCTATGAGGGGGAAGGATTTGTGTCCAAGTTAAAAGCAAAAACTTGAATGCCTGGCTTATTCTAAATGGACTTTCTAAAGTGAAATTCATTAGCATTTGAAGTTTAAGAAGGATTGTTTTTGAAGTGTTGCCTTTTGTACAGCCCTGCTTTTAACTTTGTAACTCTAAGTTTGACTGCTTCCCTTATAGTGACACCTTGCAACACTAACTGAACTCTGCACCCTCTAATACAGAGTGAGGGTGGCAAAATGTCCTCTTTCAAGACTCAAATGTTGGTTAAAAGTCATTTTTTGAGGTTGAGTACAAGGTGTTTCCTATACTAACATGCAATTGTTGGAAGCAGTCTAGCTGTAGGTATTCATTTTTTTTAGCACTATTGAATCACTAAAATAGACTGGAGTATATTTTAGTTTCATGGAGTAGGCAGGTGGTGAAAATAGCATGTTGTGTTTACAATGAACTATAGACAGAAGGTCTGTTGTGTTGGTCACCTGCTATAGCTCAAAGGAGTTCAGCTAATGAGTAATGAATCTGAATTCTTGCAGCTGTAAGCAGTCCAAATGAAAACATGCTTGTTAAAATATGCAGCTCTGTACCATGAAACAATACTTTAGGAGGTGGAGCTACAAGCCATTCCAGCTGGTCCAACTGTTTTGGTCCTGTGGGGCATCTCTGGACCACATAGAGAAATACAATAGAAAAATGGCATCTTCCATGAAGTGTAATCAAAATGCAGTGTATGCAACATCAGGTGCTGTGGAAGATCCTATTTTGTAGAACAGATCTGCTAGTGAGTGGGTGGGGGTGTTTGGGGGCTGCATAGAATTGGCATATAGGCCACCATTGATCCATGCATAGGTGTCTGCTGCTGTTAGTGTCAGATCTGCGTTAGCTGGCAGTTGGAGCAGTTAAGATGGAGCTGTGCTACAAATATGCAGTAGTTCTATTGTCTGAAGATTTTTTTTTTAAAGGCAGCACTAGCACTGTGGTGTATTTCATGAACAGTTTATCCTGACAACTGTTTCTTCGTGGTTAAGAGGCAAAGCAGGCAGTTAGCCACAGATATCTGTGGCTAATAGAGCTGCAGGATAAAAAGGCATGTACTTGAGTACCTGAAGCTTGTTAAAAGCACAAAATTGAGAGCCAGGAGATTTGGGTTCTTCCATTTCCCAGGTCTGCATCTCTTTGCTGTGTGAAAATGAGCAAGAAGCTTTACTTCACAGTGCATTGTGCAGTAGCGTGGGGCTAATAACTAACCAGCATGATATGAAGGTTAATGTTTTCAGAATGCTTTGAAATCCTCTTACAGAAGACAGTATAAGTATACATTTTCATGTTAAGGGATAATATGATTGGCCTGAACAGGACTTTACTATATAGTAGTTTAATAATAAAGATAGAAACATTGAATCTATCATTGTAAAATAATGTATAGGAAAGCCCTCCAAAATTATGTATTTTCTCACCTATATGGTATCAGTGTAGTGAGAAATGACACCATATCATTTCAGGATTATATTGAAACCACCAACTTTTTTTTCCAAAGACATAGAGCAGGATCTTAAAGACCTCTTCAAGAGGAAGGAATTCAAGTCTACCCACTCTGATGTTCACAATCCCCACAGTACATGTGATATAATCTAAGGAATCTTGAAGGACTTCTGATCTCATAACTCCCATGTTACACCAAACACATAACTAATTCAAGGCCCTAAGGTCTACAATTAACATTTGTGCTGATATAGCTATGAGAGCAGGATCTTAAAGACCTCTTCAAGAGGAAGGAATTCAAGTCTACCCACTCTGATGTTCACAATCCCCACAGTACATGTGATATAATCTAAGGAATCTTGAAGGACTTCTGATCTCATAACTCCCATGTTACACCAAACACATAACTAATTCAAGGCCCTAAGGTCTACAATTAACATTTGTGCTGATATAGCTATGGTGCTGAAGGGTGTGAAAAAATCCACACACCTAGGCTAATGATAAAGAATGCTTCTGTCAACCTACCTACCATCACGTGAAAAGGTGGAGCTCCCACAAGGAAAATCTACCGCAATCAGTGTAGGCTGCAGCTATACTATATGGCTATGTCTAGACTGGCATGATTTTCCGGAAATGCTTTTAACGGAAAAGTTTTCAGTTAAAAGCATTTTCAGAAAAGAGTGTCTAGATTGGCACGGACGCTTTTCCGCAAAAGCACTTTTTGCAGAAAAGCGTCCGTGCCAATCTTGACGCGCTTTTCCACAAAAAAGCCCCAATCGCCATTTTTGTGATCAGGCATTTTTGCGGAAAACAAAGCTGAGCTGTCTACACTTGCCCTTTTGCGCAAAAGGACTTTTGCCTCAATGGGAGCCGCATAGTATTTCCTCAAGAACACTGACAATCTTACATGAAATTGTCAGTGCTTTTGCAGAAATTCAAGAGGCCAGTTTAGACAGCTGGCAAGTTTTTCCAGAAAAGTGGCTGATTTTCCGGAAAAACTGGCCAGTCTAGACAACACCCGTGAGAATTTGCACAAGAACACTGACTTTGTAATGTACAAAATCAGTGCTTCTTGCGCAAATACTCTGATGCTCCCGCTCAGGTATAAGCCCTCTTGCACAAGAATACTTGCGCCAGAGGGCCGGTGTAGACAAGCAAGTTAATTTCTTGTGCAAGAAAGCCCGATGGCTAAAATGGCTGTCGGAACTTTCTTGCGCAAGAGAGCATCTACACTGGCATGGATGCTTTTGCACAAAAGATGTCTTTTGCTGATCAGCTGATCTAGATTCAGAGACTACTGCTGGGGGGATGGTT